CCTACAAGATGAAGCTAAATCTTAAAAAGTGCACATTTGGCGTCAGTTCAAAAAAAATGCTTAGGCTTCATGGTCAAAAAAGGGGAATTGAAGTCAATTCAAACAAGATCAGAGTCATCTTGGAGATGAAGTCCCAAGGTTCAACAAAGGAGGTCAGCACCTTAATGGGAGGATAACAGCCCTGAATAGGTTTGTCTCTAAATTAGTAAATAAATGACCGCCTTTCTTTAAAATCCTCCGCAGGACTTTCTAAGGGGCTCAGATTCAGAGGAGGACTTCTAAAATCTCAAGGCCTACCTCTCCACACCACCTTTACTCTCCCATGTTGTACCAGGAGAGACCCTATACCTCTACCTCTCCTCCTCACCCTCTACCATGAGCTTGGTCCTCATCAGGGAGGATGGGCGCATCCAGAAACCTATGTACTATGTAAGCAGGACATACCGAGGGGTAGAGGTAAGGTACTTAGAGCTTAAAAATTTTGATCTCGCACTTGTCACTGCTGCTAGGCGTTTACGTCACTACTTTCAGAGCCACACCATCACAGTTATTACAAATAGTCACTCAAATGAATTCTGGGAATGCCTGATGTATCCGGCTGACTACTCAAGTGGGCTGTCAAGTTAAGTGAGTTCAATGTGAGGTAGCAAACGAGGGTTGCCATCAAAGCACAAGCACTTGTAGACTTCGTGGCCGAGTCTACACTGCCACAGGAGTCCCGAAAGGAAGTATTAGGCACCCCAACGCCCGTCTGCACAATACACAATGCCTCCACACACTATGAGGCTAGCCCAGACACTACCTTGAGAAGACCTGACATCTCGGAGACAGCTCCACAGCCTACATAGCCCAAGGCGCCGCCCACTCTACCCAGGGTGTCGTTCGAACAGCCCATAGCGCAACCCACTCTGCCTAGGGCGCCGTCCAACCGACCACCTCTTACCTTTTCGACGTCATCACAGCTCCCCCCGTTACCGAGTTGGAGACTCTACGTGGATAGGTCCTCGACCAGCGAGGGCGGCAGCACAGATCTAGTGCTGATCAGCCCCCATGGCACTCCGCTAAAGTACGTAGTATCCCTCCTTTTTGCCCCATCAAACAATCAAGCTGAATATGAGGCCCTCATATCATGCTTGAAACTTACGTTAGAGATGGAGGCTCTTTACCTGACAGCCTACAGTGACTTCCAGCTCATAGCCAACCAGGTAAAGGGAGAATTTGAGGCAAATGAGGAAAGAATGCAATAATACCTCTCAGTAGTCCAAGCCTTACTAAAAAAGTTTACTTGCTTCCAAATCCACCATGTGCCCTGAGAAGAGAATGACATGGCAGATGCCCTCGCCAAATTTGCATCTACCAACATATTTATGGGCCTGGCACTGACATGCCTCCAGTTCAAACCAAGCACCTTTAAGACAAAGGAGGACGATGTTAATTGTGAATCCTCAGAAGCCAACTGGATGACTCTTATCAGAGCCTACATAGAGGAGGGCGCTCTCCTAGTAAACCCAGTGGAAGCCATAAAGTTAAGAATGAGAGCCTCCAAGTATGTCATCCTGCCAAATACCCTCTACAAGAAAAGTTATTCCCTACCACTACTCCGTTGTCTCACCCCCGAGGAAACCGAATACGCAATGAGGAAAATCCATGAAGGAATATGTGAAAATCACTCAGGGGGGCATGCACTGGCCCATAAAGCAATTAGGAAAGGCTATTAGTGGCTTACCATGATCAGAGACACCCATAAGTTTGTCAGGAGATGTGACTTGTGCCAACGCTTCGTGATTGTGCCTAGACAGTCACCCGAAGGGCTCACCACCATTCAGAGCCCATGACCCTTCTTCATGTGGGGAATCGACATCTTAGGACCCCTCCTTGTGAGTTGGGGCCAGTGCAAGTTCGTAGTGGTTGTCATTGACTACTTTACTAAGTGGGCAGAAGTCGAGGCCTTAGCCAGGATAACAAACCAGAAGATAAAAAACTTCATATGGAAGAGTTTAGTCTGCCGCTTTGGAATACCTCATGCCATTATAAGTGACAACGCCAAGTAGTTTGACAACAAACTCCTTAATAGCTTCTATGCCGACCTACAGATCAAACAGCCCCACTTTAGCCCCGCCCATCCACAGGCAAATGGGTAAGCAGAGGCCACCGTCAGGACCATCCTCCGCAATTTGAAAATCAAACTGGAGAGTGCGAAGAGACGATGGGTAAACGAGCTCCTAAGAATGTTGTGGGCTTACCAGACGACACTGAGAAGCCCCATGGGCGAGACCCCTTTTTTCGCACCCTACGGGACAGACGCAGTCATACCCATTGAGATTGGGGTACACTCCATTAGGGTCCATTACCACGACCCTACCAGTAATGAAGAAGGCTTCCGCATCAACCTTGACTTGGTAGAGGAACAGATGGAAATAGCTATGTTCAGGAATGCAGAGTACAAGCATCACATGATCAAGTACTACAACTTGAGGATGAAACCTCACTCCTTCCTGCCCGAGGACCTCATCCTCAAAAAGTTCATCCTATCTAACAAAGACTCCCAGGAAGGAAAACTAGGACCCAACTAGGAACGACCCTACACATTCACGAAAGTAGTAAGACCGGGCACCTACAGAATTCAGAATTTTGAAGGAAAAGTTCTGGCCCACCCGTGGAACACAGAGCACCTAAAGAAATATTACCAGTAGCTGGGGGCAAGGCAGTGAGTGTATGAGTCAATAGTTACCATTCAGATTATCTATTTTTGTTTTGGTCAAATTCCCTTAATATATTTGCTTCGGATTATGAAATAAAATTTTGCAATATTTTTTCAAAAAGTTGTATTTCATGCAAGTTCATGAAGCTTTTACAAAAAGATAGAACATGAACTAGCAAAAAAAACATGAATACAAAGATATCATGCTCCTAACGACATTCACTACCTACACTCCCATCATCGCTCGCGTCCTCATCATCAGTCCCTGGAGCCTCATAAGGGATGAAGCCAGAAAAGTCATAAGCGAGAAAATCTGGTGAGACCTTCTCCTTGAGCTCCTCATAGCCATCAATAAAGACGTTTGCCACAGCATTCTCAACAGCATCCCTTTGCTTCTCCATCTCCATGGAGTAAGCCTATGCCCTATTAGCTCTCTCAAGAGCTATTCAAAGGTCAGCCTCTGACACTGCGACCCTCTCATGGGACGCTCGTAGCTCTGTCTCTGCAACCTCTCTGTCAGCGTCCAGTTAGGCGGCCCTCTCATGGGACGCCCGAAGCTCGGTCTAAAGAATGGAAGCTCTCTCGTGTGCTAGCCTCGACTGCTCCTCAACATCCTCTCGCGCTTGTCGCTCCAGCCCCAACTTCTCTTCAGTAGCACTTCTTGCCTGCCCCTCCACTGTCTGGCCATTGAGTGCCTCCCTAATCTTCAACATACTTGAAAACAAGCAGGGAAAAACAGCAGCCACCTGTAGACATTCAAATGGAGGAGTATGAACGAAAGGAGTCAGGTACAAAACCAAAAAAGAATGAAGGACATACCAAGGCAAATCCCTCCATACCAGCATCAACAATGCCCTCTAAACCTCAGGAAGCAACCTCTTGGATCTGCAGCATGAGTCACAAACCCCCAAAGTCGTTCCTTAGCTAGTTTCACGTCGTGCAGCATGGATACTAAACTACTGCTCAAAGCAGGACGGCTAGGCGGAGCCTCTCTCCTAGTAAGAGACCGCACCAGAGCCTCAGTCCCCACAATCATATTGGGACTATCTCTAGGGGGTGATGGAAAAGAAATCGGGGAAAAACAGGGGGCATCATCAGGTTTTGCCTCTTCGAAAATAGCCAGGGCGGTGGACCTCAGTTGAGAAACACCGGGGGCATCAGACTTCACCCTTTTAGAAGAAGGAGGAGAAGACGCCACCTTGGAAGCATAAATAGCCTCCACCATCGTTTTGTCAATGGAGGTACCTGTAGAATTAGTGTGAGATAAAAATCCTACGACGTTGTAACCATAAAGAGTCTATTGGAAAGATCAAATACCTTTCTTCTTCGACCTGGGAGTAGCCTTGGAATAACCTGACGCGAATATAATTCCTGAGAACTCCTTAAATGGATGATCGTGTACCATCCGGAGTCTACCCTCTTGCTCTGTGGATAATGTCGGTGAAGCTATAAAAAAGCTAGTCGCATAGTAAGAGTAGGTATGTGACAACTAGAAGTAAAATCAAAAGTGGAGTCCTTACCTAGCCTGGTCCTTTGGACGGTGTTCCACCTCGAAGGCACCAAGTCATGATCACTCTCGGGGACCCACTTGCCTCCAACAAATAAGAACTTGGTCTTCTAGCTATGACAGTTTAAAAGAAGTTCAGTGATGAACTTACCCAACCTCGAGGCAAAACGGTACCATACCTGATGAGGGATAGAGTTCTCCAGGAGCACATACGTGGCCAAGAACTTCTCGAATGGGGGAGGGACATCAGCACTGTGAACCAGCCGTCATAATGAAAAGAATGTCAGTATCACCCCCTATCTGTTGAGAGCCAGCGATAGATGCCCCAGAACCCGACAAATGGGCCCAGGTATTGGGAACCTCAAGCTCACCTCCAACACATCCTCATAAAGGGTAATCTCGCCCCGAAGAGTCACAGCATGCTGTCTCGTCCTCCTCTGCGCGACGACACATTACAGTGGGAGGGATGTTGTACGAAGATACAATGCCAACAATATCCTCATCAGAGTCAATGGAGCTGAATATGGAGACCACCTTAGAACCATTGTCTCTAGTGGGCCTCTTGCCTCTCTCAGTATCTTGAGTAACCTCACTTATGATGTGCTCGTCAAAATTGGTGCCTGGCAACAAACAAAACCAAGAGGAGGTCAAAGTCAATGTCAAGGCAATTAGTTTCACCTCAACAAGGACTCTCAAGCAATCTGAGATGTATCCAAATACAACCATGATGTGCATACTAGAGGTATGTCATGAAAGATACAAATAAAAGTTCATAATATATGCCACAAAAGTTCAGAAGATTATCTTACCCGCGTGCTTCCTGGAGTTACCCACCGTGTTTGAACCTTCACCAATATTGCCCAGTGCATTTAAGTCACCACCGCCACTTGGAACGCATGCCTTGACGCCTTGGGCGCCACCTACCTCAGTGCCTAGGGCGCCGCCCACCAAGCCTCCTCCATTACGAGCGCCGCCCACTAGGTCTCTCCCTGTACTTGATGCCACACCAAGATCCCCCGCGAAGATGGCACTGCCTAGCGGTGCACTGGTATCGCCCATAGGGCTGGGCTCCCCCATCTCTCCCTCTCGCCCTCTCTCTGCAGTGCAGGCATCGCCCATGGAGCTGGGCTCCCCTATCTTTCCCTCTTGCCTCTCTTCCTCCTACTGCAGGCACCGCCCAGCAACCTGCTGTTGTCGCCCAGCATCTCGCCAGCTTCACCAAGGGTCCTCCTCGTGTGGGCTTTGGAACCTCCATCTCCCTCAACGATCTTAACTCCGTCATGGATGACTTCTTGATCCATTGATATGCCTCTTGGTTCCTCACTCTTCTCCATTGATGAGACCATTTCAAAGATTTTTTGTATGAAACCTCTCTCCTTAAATCCTTCCTAACCTTCAATGGAGGATCTAGTGTCCCCAATGGGGGATCTAATGTCTCAAGGAAATGGGTTGCAAAGAAGGAGGAGTGTAATAGAGTGAAGCAACATTGAACCTATGAAACCCTTATGCAGAATGCCTAAATGGGGAAGAAGGGGTTTTTTTAAATGAAATCCACTCTAGCTCAATTGCATTACCGTAATAAAATGGGATGAAAGAGAAAACAAACCCTTGAAGAATAAACCAAGCAAGAGGATGAAAAAGCTATGCCGTGGAGGACAAGAAACGAAAACTCACTCATGCCCTCAAAATCTTTGTCAAAACAAGAGTTTTGGGGCATGGGGGGTAAATGACGAACTCAGATCTAATTGGGCCAAACCTGGTAAATTAGGCTAGCCCAAGTCAGCTAAAAGGTAGCCCAAGCCCGCTTTATCAATCCGACTTAGTCTAAGATCTAAGGAGTCTAGAAAGATAAGAGCACGTGGGAGAGAGATTATCGGGATACAAACTCAAAAAGATCAATCCTACTATAATTGTACTTACCTTTGTGTAACTATCATCCCCGAAGAAGTAGTACCCTCACACTCACGTCACCACCTCACCATACCTATAAATTGTAAGCTCTCTCCACATGGAGAGGCACATCTCCCAACATACCTCTCTATACCTCATTACACACATAGTTTCTCTCTCCTAACTATTGTACCTCTCCCAGAGTATACATCTCCTGGAACTTTCTCTCTATTACTTTAATCATTAATAAAGACCCCCCGCCACCGTTACTGTTTCCCAAAAGTGGAGTAGATCACCCAAGCCGAACCACTATATATCTATGTGTTGATCCGATATTTATTGTTTTGTTATTGATTACTTTATTTATTATTAATTAATTACACCTTATTACACACTCGACTATTAATCTTGCACAAGACAATTTCGTGCATCATCAATTAAGTTTCTCATATTGTACTTGAAACAATAATTGTTGGTTTCATATTGCTCTTTCCTTATCATGTTCCTCACATTGTACTTCTAACTATTATTTATTTTTATTGCCCAAATTGTACACATTAAAATGCATATTTTACAATATATTTTTCTTTTTTGTCCTGAACATATTTTTGGTTTTGGAACATGTGAAGTCAACTCAAGTACCTGGGGATAATGTAAAAAACTTTCATGGTAGAGGTGACAAAGTGTTAGAGCATAATTTGCCCTAATTTTTAGTTGTCCTATTTTATTTTTTTTACTTTGCAACATTTTTAAATTGATTTTTGTAACGATGTTTTAGAACATGGCATGCATGTTTTACCACTTGTTTTTGTTACTTTGATATGCTTTTGAGATTTGAGAACAACTTTTTATGAATCATGGTATGAAGAATTACAGTAATATGTTCATTGTCTCTACACTTTTGAGTTATGGTATGAACATGGCATGTATCTTGAGTTTTTTGCGATTCAAATCAATTATGAGTAAGAGATATTTTACATACAATAGTCTATATTATTTTAAAATTTTCGTAGCGCAAATCAACTTAAAAATATTAATTTGATTGATCAGATTGATTGACAATTGTCAAATTGACGCTCTTTCCATTGACACATTCCATTCATGGTTAACACCTCTATTTTCACGCCTAAATTCCCCCAAATTATGCTTAACTTAATTCGCTCTTTCCATATTCACGCCTACATACATACACTGCGGAGCCGCTGCTTAATTCATTCACTCCTTCCATGTTCATGCCCAACCGTTGCTCTCTGTCTCTTTGCTTCTCTTTCTGTCTCCGTTGCTCATCCATACGCACAAAACACAGCACACGCGAACACACACTCCACGACTATCCCCCTCGCTGTCAACAGCGGCGACCGTCGTCGATGATCGAATATTCAAAACCACCCACTTTCTAACGTCATCGTCAAGCACATTTGGGGCCATCAAGGTTGAATTTTGTCTCTTCCATTTTGTTGAAGTTTTTGTTTAATTCTACCAAGTGTTTGATTCTAATTTTTTGTTCTATATTAATTTTTGTTTGCTATTTTAGTTCGATTCCAACGTCAGTTCAATTTTCACAGGGGCAATCCATTTAATCGCGACAAACATCTCAGGTAAAAAGATCTTGGGTTTAAAATTTTCCCTTCGAGCTGATGTAGTCTGTTTTGATTCGAGGTGCAATTTGGGCGGGTTAGACAATCAACCCTAGCCCAACTCTAAGTATAAAATTTTTAACCCCAACACTAATCTTAACTCTAACCCTACCTCGGATTGAAGAACTCAACCCCATAACTGCCCAAGTTTAATTCGGGCAGGCTTGGGCTAATTTCGGCTTGATGATTTCGGATTATTTTACGGATTCAATTCGGATAGAGCCCAAAATAGACGTATTGTTCTAAACCTAATACATATATTACATAATATTCACCTAAATTAACAACTAATAACTTCAATCAAGTTTTTAACGAGAGAGGCTGAGAGAACGACAGAGGCAAAGAGAACGAAAGAGACAGAGAACGATAGAATAAAAATGAAAAATCAATACTAATGCTTTATATATATATAATATATATAATTTTTTTTTTTAATTTGTCGGGTTCGGGTTGAACTCGGGTTCACGAAGCTTTAACCCGAGCCCAACCCAAATTGAATTCGGGTTGGAGTTTTTTGACCCAAGCCCAACCTAAATATTAAAAACCCTTACCCAAGTTTTAATTTTTTCAGGTTGGGCTCGGGTTAAAATCGGGTTGCTCAACCCAAGTTGCACCCCTAGATTTGATAATTAGTAAAATGTTGTTTCTTTTTAAAAAAAAAAAAAAAATTATAGTTGTAGTTCTCTATAGAAGTAAATTAATTTCTTGATATGTAGGATGATATGGGCTAACTGCTAACGTTTGATAATTTTTTCTAGACACAGATTATTGAGCATCTGACGTCGACAAAATACAGATTTTGATTTTTCCTATCTTTTATGCACTCTTTTTTTTTTATTGAAATGCTTAATTCGTATTCCATGGTGTCGCAGTCACAAATGGAGTTCCTACATATCATGATCAGAAGACACATTGGATCAATTAATAGTTGGGATTTTTTTGGTGGGCAATTACAATTGTATATTAATTATAATTTTTTTAAAAAAATATTAAAATTTTATTTTATTTCAATAAATAACATAATAAAACATGAATTTTGATTGTAAAATTCATGTTCTATTACGAATGATTTAGATCTCTTGTTTTATTTTTTAGTTTTATTCTAATATATAATATAATTATATACTAATTATAATTTTAAAAAAAAAATAAATGACACAATAGAATATGAATTTTAATTGTCAAATTTAAAATATTTGATATATCTTTGATTGGAATATTTTTGATCTAACTATAACATTTTAAACTTAAGAGGCCTAAGCATTACACACTTACAAATTTTAAGGGGGACTGTGTATAATTTACTAACAAATATACTAATGAATATTGGCAGCAGAGTCTAAATGTTACAAACTTGAGGAGATGGGGCATAATTCTCCCTAAATATAATGCATATATGGGCCACTGAACCACTACGAGTCCACGGTAAATTGTTTACTACTGGGGTTCTATTCTACTTACAATCAAGATTAAACAAATAATAAAGAAGAAGCAAGGCATATTCTTCTATCTTCTAAATACATACTCAATAGGATGGATGGCCTCTTTGTGCTTCCTTTGGGCCACTTAATATTATATTGTTTGGTTGTTTCTTTATGTTAACATTCTCATTAGGCAGCGTTTCTATCATCTTTTGGATACACATAATTTTTATTAGCACTAAGTAAAAATTAAAAAATAAGGCTTATCCAAGGAAAAGCCAATTTTTTCGGAAATGCCCAAAATTGTTTTAAAAGATTTTTCAACTCTGAATTTTTCATTTTATTTTTAAAATTTTTATTTTGCACCATAAAAAGCCAGCTCTAAACAGTGCTCATGTGCACGGGTTCGGGAGAGTCGCCTCCTAACCCCTTAGATCCCCTGTTATTTATGACTCTACCACACCACTTACCACTGTTGGATTACAACTATTTTCAAGCAAGCAAGAGTGCACTTGATGGCACCTAAACTCTGCCAGAATTTAATGAAATATTTGTAATGTAATGTCCAAAATTAGGAGGAATATTCTCCTGAAATTAAATATTTCATAAGTTTACTTTAGCACTACTTAATTAAAAAAAATCATAAAGTTTGTCACTAAGTTTAGCTTAACATGATTTAATAAAAAATTCATAAATTTTTTAGCAAATACTCCGAAAATTAGGTTCAAGTAGGGAGGAGGGCAAACCCTTTGGAAAAATATAAGGATAACAATTGTGAACGTTGAAAATAGTTTGCGAGAACGATCTTTTACAATTTTATGAGTCACTTAGTAAATACTATAAAACTTTGAAAAAAATTTAGAACCTGGGTGCATACATGTGCGCAGGGTTGGGAGATTCCTATCTTCTTGAACACCATATACTCTAAAATTTTAAGCAATTATAGAATGGTATAACTTCAATATTTATAATTCAACACGTGCTCTGGAGCTTAGATTTTGGGCCTTACGTTAACATATTTTAATTACCAAGGTGGCCGACCTCTTGCTCAGATATCTGTAGGAATATGCGGAATAGAATTTAATAAATTTGATGAATTAGGAGCTAGCCTTTGAAAGTTAAAAACTCTTTTTGATATGAAAGCAGTAGAGTTGAGATTCCCCTCAGTGGGTTTTCTCACAAATTGGATGTTTTTTTGATGTGTTCTCTTTGTATGCAGAAAATCTTATTTATAAAGGAAGATTCAGCTAGTCATTCAACTAGTCGTTACCACTCAACATAATATCATCAACTCCCCAATATTTTCTCAACTCCACAAGTATTTCCTCCACCCACTGCAGTCAAAATAAGCTAATTATACTCAAAGTAGAATTGACTAGTCTTTCACTACTTGATGAG